TGCCCAATGCTGCTGTTCAACCTGTAGGTCAGGTGGTCACCATGACTCCATAGGCCACTAATGAGGTTTTAACCCAACAGGAGGCCCCAGCTCAGTTGTCTGGGTCCCCTGAACATTTTGAAGCAGTTTGAAAGATCAGCAAGAGGTTCTAGTTCAGCAGCTAAGTCCCCCTGCCAAGGATGAACATCCTCCAGTCCATCAAGGGGTCCCACCTCAGCCCAAAGAGCTGCCTGAGGAACATTCTGCAGGCCAGCAGGAGAGCTCAGCTGTGTCTCAAGAGCCCCCTGGGGGAGTTGAAGCTTTCGCAGGCCAGCAAGAGCACACAGCTCAGCCTCCAGCATTCTCCCCATTCTATAGAAGTCCACTTAATGATGAGATGACATTGTCATCCCTAGATTTCTCATCAGTATTCAGAGGTCACCATTGTCTCATACCACAGTTCAACAAGTGGATATGGTACTCACCATACAGACAGGGTCCAATATGGAGGCTGAACTTTCTTCAGACCAGCAGGAAGACCTTCCTGTTCCCACTGAGAAGGGTGGATTTTCTCCAACACAGTCTGAAGCCCCAAAGAGGCTGACTCTTCTCCAGCCCAACAAGAGGCCAAAACTCAGACTCGAGATCTCCCCAGGGAGGTGGAACCTTCTCCAACTCAGCTGGTGACCCCATCTCAGCTTGCAGAACTCCCTGGGGGGGGGCAGGTAGAGCCACCTCCAGTTCATCAAGATGGCACTCCTCAGCCTCCAGAGTCCCCAGAGGAGACAGAACCTTCTCCCATTCTGCAGGATGCCCTATCTCAGCCTCCAGAGCCTGCGGCAAAGGTAGAACCTTCTCAATTTCTGCAGAGAGCCCAAGTCAGCTCTCAGAGCCCCCTAAAGAGGTAGAATCCTCTCCAGTCCAGCAGACAGTCCCTGCTCAGTCTTCAGCGACTCCTATGGTGGTGGAACCCTCTCTGACAAAGCAGGTGATCTCATCTTCACCTCCAGAAAGCCTGGAGGACATGGGGCCATCTCCAATCCTGCAGGGGGGTCCCACTCAGCCTCCGGAGCCCCCAAAGGAGGCAGAATCTGCTCCAGTCCGGCACATGGTCCCTGCTCAGCCTGCAGAACCCCGGAGGAGGCAGAACCTTCACCAAGCCAGCAGGCAGTCCCAGCTCAGCCTCCAGAGCCTTCTGAGGAGGTTGTAGCTGAATCTCCAGTGCATCATGAGATGACAGTTCCAACACCAGGTCAGGGTCAAGCTCAGTATCTGACATCGCCCAGTGTCAGTGTCACAGTTCAACCTTTGGACTTGGGACTTTTCTTATCTACAGAACCCAGGATGAAGGCTGAACCTTCTCCAACCATGCATGAGACCCCAACTCAGCCTCCCGAGGAAGTTGTTGTACCTCAACCTCCAGTTATCGAGAGGTGACAGATCCGACACCAGGTCAGGATCAAGCTCAGCATCCAGTTCTGCTTGGTGTTACAGACCAGCCTCTGGACCTGGGGCTCACCATCACTCCAGAATACACTACCAAGGCTGAACAGTCAACAGCCCTGAAAGTGACCACAGCTCCTCCATTGTCCCTTGTGGTGACACATCCATATCCAGACCAGATTCAGACTGAGCATCCAAACCTGACTCAACTCACAGTTCACCCTCTGGTCCTGCAAGTGACCGTAACCCCAGAATCCAATATGGAGGATGAACCTTTTCCAACCACACAGGAAAACACAGATCAGCCTCCAGAGTCACCTAAGGAGGTGTAGCTCAACTTCCGATGTATCATGACGTGACAGTTCCAATACCAGGTCAGGGTCAAGGTCAACATCCATCTTGGCTCCCAATCACAGTTCAGCCTTTGGACCTGGGGCTCACCATCCCCCCAGCATCCACTGTGGGGGCTGAACAGTCTATAGCCCTGATGACTACAGCGCCTTAAAAGCACCCTTGCCAGGTTCAGACTCAGCATGCAAACCTGACTCAAGTCATAGCTCAGCCTTTGGATTTGGAATTTGCCACAACTCCAGAGCCTACTACAGAGGTTAAGCTTTCTCTAACTATGCAGGAGACCCCAACTCAGCCAGATCGGGGGCTTACCGTAACTCCAGAACCCAAGTACATAGGATTTTTTTAAATTCTCACTCTGTCATGCAGACGGAGTACAGTGATGCAGAGGCTTGTCTATTTGATTGATTGATTGATTGATGGGTTGGAGGCTCTGTAGCCTAGGCTGGAGTGCGGTGGCGCACTCATGGCCACCATAGCCTCGACCTGCTAGGTTCAGGTGATCCATCTGCCTCAGCCTTCCAAGTAACTGGAACTACAGGCATGCAACACCACACCTGGCTAATTTTTTATTTCTTGTAGAGATGGGGTCTCGCTAATTTGCCCAGGCTGGTCTCAAACCCGTGGGCACAGGCCAGTCCTCTTGCTTCAGCCTCCCAAGGTGCTGGGATTATAGGCGTGAGCCACCGTGCCCAGCCTGGGGTTGGAATATTGAGGGAAGGCATCAGGAAGGAAGATGAACTTGAGTTGGCTTTTGATGAGCACACAGGACTGCCACAGGCAGAGTGAAATAAGGGAAATTTCAAAGGGTCAAAGGTGCACAGACAAAAGAAGGAGTTGGGATGGTGACTGGGGTGCAGTGCAGGACTGCTTTGGCAGGAACGGAAGCCTGCCAAGACAGTGGAAAGGCAAACATGACAAGGTGGGTTGGACAAGTAGTGTGGAGTCAAGCTCGCCAGTGTATTATGTTGCTCTTTAATATGCTGGCGCCTGACTGGTGGGATGAATAATAAGCCATTATGTAACTGGACAAAAGGTAAACAGAGGCAAGCTCCAGGAAACAGCTTGTGTAAGCAGGACATGCCAAAGGGTGCTCTCCCGGAGTCCTTTAGCGCCTCACATGCCCGGAGAAGCAGGAGCTACGTGACTCTACTTTCTCTACAGGATGGACCTTTTGTCCTTTGCCGGTGTCCTTTTCCAGGGTGACTGCAGCTGTGAGAGCATCGAGATTGTACATCTCTCATTTCTACAACAAGGAAATAAATCAGTGGCAGATGGGAAGTGACCGGGAAGTACACCATATTGTAAGTTTGGGACTGGAGAAATGTTGCTGGCATATACACTCTGGCCTTCTTAAACTTCACTTTTTGAAAAAGTCTCATGGTTTGCTAACTTGGTTACAGTTCCACAGAGATCTCTAAGAGGAAAGTTCCTTTAAACATGCCTGGGACATACTTTCCAGTAAAGGACAAAGCTTTTCTCAGTCTAAGGATCTCGAGAGGATTGTGAAGTGCCAGTAGGCAGGAAAGTGGCCTTGATTTTCAGTGTGTGCGTTCTGAAACGACGAGAGAGAGAGAGACAGGACTGCATTCTGGAAATCAGCATTAATTGTTGTCCTTACCTCAGTGTGACAGATAATTATAATCAAGATCGTCAAGACAGTGGTCACAGATATTGCAAAGATGTGGTTGTTGTTGCCATTATAGAAGTTCCATATCCTGGACCTTCCTTAGTGAGTTGAGAAAAAAGAAAAGGAAAGGAAATAAGTTTTGTTTTGTTTTGTTTTTTTAAAAAAAGCCAAACCACTTGAAAGGCCAATAACTAGCTATGCAAAACCCCATTCTTCTGAGTTGGTAGCCTACAGGCTCTTAAAGAACAGAGCAAGTCTGACATGTTACCTGGTTACTGAGCAATTAATTCCTTCTGCAGTTTGTCTTGTGTATTGCGTCTGCTTCATCTCTAAGGAGCAAAGTATGAGGTCATGGACATGATAAAAGTTACCAGGCTAGGACGAGAGGTACTGGAGCCCTGGGCCCCATGTGAGTGCTCTCCCCAGCTCATCCTCCATGGGAAATGAGCCTCCCAACATCATTGTTGGGGATTAGGGATGCAGCTGCTGATTTAACTGACTCTCAAACTGGTCTGCTGGGGAACGAAGAGCAGATACCTGAGGCTCTCTGGCGTAGGGGACACCTCAGGCCCCGGGTTGCTGAACACCCACTGCATTTCACTGGTCTGTCTGATGGGCAACATAGTGTCGAAGGCAAGGGCAATGGAGTCAGCCTGGGAAGTGTTCATGGGGTCTTCAGAGATAGTGCCTTACGGCACAATGGGGTTTTCAACAAAAATGTTTTCTAGAGAAGCCGTTCCTGATGTGGAGTTTTCTGTAGCTTTTTCTGTAGTTGGGTCTGAAAGAGCAAATAATTCTGGAAAAGGGTTTTCCTGAGGGCTCGGGTCTGCTGAAGGTGAAAAAGCCCCCTGCAAGAGTTGATGAGGCTTCTGACTGCAGGGAACGGGGCTTCTTGGCAAGCATCAGACCACTGAGTGGGCCTTCCTTCTTGAACTTCCGACTCTCCTTGGCCTTGGGTGCTCTGTGGATACCTGGAAGTGAGTTTTATGAACGTGATGTTTTTTCTCTGGGATGTAAAACAGAATTTGAGGCCTTCATGCTTTTAACTGTCATATTGGCATCATCTAAAACAAATATGTCAAGTCTTTTGACTCATTTTGATCTCCAGACAGGGCTTTCATGGAGGTGACTGGGCACGCCCATCTTTTGTATTGAAAAGAACAAGGCCTTCTGACCTGTGTGAGCAAGGGCATTGTGGGACAGGCTGCATGCCAGCTGCTGGGGCCTCTGGCCATTCCGGCTCCCTTGGGGCTAGCCTCGCCTGCCGCCTTTCCTCGGCAGCGTGCTCCACAGATGACTCCGTGTTCTGTTTTCTCCTGATGCGCTGATCTAGAAGTGCCTTCTTGAGGCGCCTTTACTTAATGCCCTGGGCCCCTTGATGACCATGTCCACGGTCTGCAGCCTTCTCCTGACACCCTGGGTCTTTGTTAGGCTGTTTTCCTGTGGCCAGGCCGTTTCCAACCCATCTGGAGAGAGTTGATGTGTAAATTCTGGATCTGAGGCTAGGCTGCATCAGCATGGCAGCTCTTTCTTTCTTTTGACCTCGTGGAATTTTTCTTGAATGAAGATAGAGATTCCTAAATTCACTTTTGTACGTTGGACTGCTGTATGACGATTCTAGAAAGGGGCTGTCTGTACTGCTTTTCAAAAGATCCGGAGCTCCATTTGAATATTTGAAAAAAGCAGTTTCTTAGCAATGTTGATTACACATTCTAGGTTTCCTTGTGAGAAACAAGGCAAGATATAATTGAGTGTGGTGATGACATCGCTTTCCTCACAGAAGTCCAGCTGCTCATTCATGAAGACTGACAGGCTGAAGCGCCTCTTGTCTGAGGGCATCTCTGGCTCAATAATCAGTTCAGTGCTGATCTGCTTCTTCTGGGCTTGTCGTATGTTCATGAGGGCTCCCTCTCCATTGCCTATTGATGCTTCTGCAACTGTGAAGTGGAAGCAGAGAGAAAGAAATTAAAATATCTGTGGGATTGACCATAGTGGGAATCTGCCTGGGGAAGGAGTGGCACACCTCATCAACAAGAGTACCTGCATAATGGACATATGTATACCTAATCCTGAATTGTATCCCACATCTTTAAAATTAAAATAAAAGTTAAATAAATAAAAAGCAATTGCAGTCTGCACTCTGTATTGGTGAGTTCTACATCCTTGGATTCAGCCAGCTGCGGGAGGAAAATATAGGTAGGGCAATCATGGTTGCATCTACAAAAAAAAGAAAGAAAAAAATGATGTCCTCTACAGCAATGTGGATGCCACCGGTGGCCATTATTCTATATGAGTTAACACAGAAACAGAAGACCAAATACCACATGATCTCACAGGTGGGAGCTAAACACCAGGCATACACGGACATAAAGACGGGAACTCGTCATGGGAACCCTTAATGGAGGGCAGGGGGAAAGGCTGAAACATACCTATTGTGTACCATGCATGCCATTTGGATAATGGATTTCATAGAAGCCCAAACCTCACCTTCACTCGCTATACCCATGAAACACATCTGCACATGGACCGTTTGATCTAAAAATAATAAATTGAAATTAAAAAGACAGCTTTGATCGTGAAAGATGACGGGATGACCTTGTGCCAGTCCACAGCCATACATCCCAGCCACAGAGTAGGAGCCAGCAAGCCTCTGAGCCATTCAGAGAAGAGATGCATAACCCCAGCCTGAGCCTGGGAATGGCCAGAGCAGGAGGAAACGACTTCTTTTGAAAATGTGGCTA